TATATTTTTTGGAAAATATTTTTCTCATGTTGCATGAGACAATTTGTCTCACGCAACATACAAAAAAGTTGGTGGGACCCACTTTTTCGCTTTCTCTCTCCTCTTCTTAATGGGTTCCACCTACTTTTGTGTGTGTTGCATGAGACAAATTGTCTCATGCAACATGAGAAAAACATTTCCCATATTTTTTACAATTTTTCAACAGAAATTTATTTTTCGTCAATAATTTTGACGGCAAATTTTTCGTCGAAAATTTTGCATTTTTTAGTAGTGAGTGGTATGTCTAAATGGAATGGCTGAGTCCTGTGAGAATTTTTTTTGAGCGGGGGCTCGAATCTCAAGTCCAAATTTCCTTCAATAAAACCACTTATATTTATCTCAATAAAAGTAATGAATTTTAATTTTTTTAATTATTTACACTTTTATTCATTGAATAAGTAAAGAGAATTAAAAAGTTTGAAATTATTTCAGAAATAAACGTAGATTGCTAACCTCCAAATTGGGTAATAATGACAAATTTCATATTCTGTTTTAAACAGTAATATTTCATTTTTATTTTCGTTTATAAATAAATCTTTTTTATTGTAATTTTAGTTATTTGCTATTTCAGTCATTTATTAAAAAATATTAAAAAAAGTTTGAATTCAATGAAAATACTATGTTTTTTATTTTCCTGAAAAGATACAATAAATTTAAAATTGCACAAAGTTATATATACCATTTAAAATAAAAAAACACTTTTTCATTTTATACTAACTTACTATTTTTAATTTATAGTCTAAGCTTTTTATTAAAATATATGATAATATTTAGTTTATTTATTAAATAAAATGTAACAAAACAAAAATAAAATCAGGAACAAAAAATGAATATAATTAATACGTTGTTGATTGAAAATATTATATTTTCTTACTACCTATCAATTTGATAAATAATATAACAAAATACGTAATAATTTTTTAACTAAAAACAATTTTATTATTTTATATGATTATTTTTAAAAATATCATTTTTTATTATATATTAAGCGTTATTACAATATTTTAATATGAATCAAACAATTAACCAAATAAATTAATCAGGTGGTCATATTTTTTATTTTGGTGGATGTAATCAGGTAGTCATATTTATGGGTGTAAATGAGACAGATTATGTCAGGCTTTAGCTTTGATAGCCTAAGCCTATATAAAATATTTAAAACATATACTGACATATTAAATGTTTGATTTATAAATCTGGCCTGACATATTATAAAAAACTAAAAAGCCTAATACGACATGTAAGGCCTACCAAGTTGTAAGTTAAAGTTTGCAAGCTTAAACCAAACTGAAATATAAAATATAAAATTTCTTATTCGCAAAGATCTTATGAAATAATATTTTCATTAACAACACATGAAAGAATGTTCATAAAGATCACATGAAAATGTTCATAAAGATTACATGAAAATTTCATATATATACATTTATAATTATATATATATATATATATATATATATATATATATATATATATATATATATACATATAATTTGCACTTTCTTTACTAATTTGAGATAATTTGATATTATGATAAAATTTATATGAAAAAACTAGCTTAGTTTTTTTTTATTTTTTTGATAATGTAAGTTTGATGTTTTGCGGCTATAGATTTATTACTTGTATGTATTGATAGAACAGAAATGGATTTTAAAAAAAGTAAACAACATAAACAAACAACCTATTTACAACGATATATTTTCAAAATGTATAATAAAACACTCAACATACAGACATACAGACATACAGTACATTTTCAAAAAATAAGTTTCTGAAATAATTGGAAATTACGATATAATTTATATGAAGAAAATTACTTTAAATTTTTGATTTATTTGATAATACTAAGATTAGAGGTAAAGCTATAGATTTATTAGTTCTATATAATCTTGATAGAACAAAATGGATTTTTTTTAAAAAGTAAGCAACATAAATAATCTATTTGCCAACGGTATATTTTCAGAATGAATAATAAAGCATATGCATTAATTAAGATAAATATTTTGAAAATAGTTGGACGCTTTTAGGTATATTGATGGTGCTTGGTTGCAGAGTCGGTATGGTTTAGTAGATATAGAATGTTTAACAAATCAAAGTGGCGCAGGGAAAGCGTGATGGGCCCATGACCCACAAGTCCTACATATTGATGGTGCTTGGTTGCAGAGTTGGTATGATTTAGTAGATATAGAATGTTTAACAAATCAAAGTGGCGCAGCGGAAGCGTGGTGGGCCCATAACCCACAGGTTCCAGGATCGAAACTTTCAGCAAAAGTTGAGAGAATTGAACTTCAATCTCGTACTAAAATTATTTTAAACTTTTTATATTAGGTTCATACTTTATTATATTTATTTTTGTTTATAATATAAAAAATTTTATTTTCACCTCCATCAAATTTTTTTTTGAGTCTTTCATTAGAAAATTATGGAAGATTTGATTGAAAGACCAAATACAAATATCAAACTCTAAATATATTATGAAGTAAATACCATTTTCGCTCGTCAGCAAATTTTACGATGTCCGCTTTAGTCCCTAGCAAATAAAAAGGCTATTCGTGGTTCTTAAGAAATTCAAAGTGGACCCATTTTAGTCCTTTTGAGGGACTAATATGGGTCTTTTTTAAATTTGTGAGGGACCACGATTTCAATTAAATGGGTCCATTTTAAATTTCTTAGGGACCAAGAATAGCCTTTTATTTGCTAGGAACTAAAGCGGGCATCGTGAAATTTGCTGAGTAATAAAAAAGGTATTTATTCTATATTATAATAGCTTTATATGACTCATGACTACATTGAGTCCTCTCTTTCCTTCTTCTTTTTTAAGTTGCAATCGACTTTCATACGGTAAAACTTTCAAGTTTAGAAGTAGAAAAAGAACCTGTATTATTAGATGGGAAAATTATTTGTCCTTTAAAAGGATGTAAGTTGTGTCCTTTTAATTTTTTTACTTTATGTACTCTCGATAGTACATAGTTATAACATGAAAAATTGCTTTTTTTTATCTCTTCTCAGTCATATCAGCTGACGTGAAAAGTGAAAAAAGTAACTTTTTCATGTTATAACTATGCACTACCGTGAGTACATAGATAAAAAACTAAAAAGATACAACTTACATTCTTTAAAAAGACACACACTAAACCCATATTATATAGCGAACTTTAGCAAACCCTTCTATCATGGGTGTTTCAGGGAGCATCTCGAAAAGAGCTTATTTTCTGTGCTCCAGGAGCATATGATCCCCCAAAAATAAAAAATAAATAAAATATGAGTGGAAATAAATATAAAGATAAGAGTAGTATAAAAATATTACTTTTTATTATATTTGGTAACAAGAGCACCGAGTACTCCGTGATCCTGGAATACCGAAAATATTTCACTCGAGGAACTGTCTCAGCGGCCCAGGTTACTTTTGATTTGGGGCCTCCACATAGCTATCAGCCAACTCATGAACCCATTTGAGGCCACCAACCTGGGACATGAGTCTACGACTCGCTATCTCTTGAAACCACTCGCTTACTCACATCAATCACATGTGAGAAAACTGTTTTGGACCATTTCTCACCCCCTCAACTATCCCCAGAGGTAAGGATATGCATGGGTCGAATTGGTTTAAACGGTGCGGTTCGAAAACGATTTGGTTCAGTTCAATTCAATACTGGTTCGGTTCAAAAATGATTATGTTCGTTTGGAAATGGTTCGGTTCGATTCGGAACCTGTTCGGGTCGACCCTATTATGAAAATAAAAAATAAAAAATTAATGAAATAAAAAAAAATAAAAATCAGTTCGGTTCGATTTGAAAACGGTTTAATTCGGTTCGATTCGAAAACGATTTGGTTCTTGAACTAGTTTTAAAAACCAATTTGGTTCATGAACTAGTTCTTTAAAAGTCGGTTCGGTTCTTGAACTGAATTTTAAAAATCAGTTACTTTAAGTACATTTCAACTCAGTTCAAGATTCGATTCAGTTTTTTAATTATTTTGCAGATTCCTATACGTGGGTCTAATATGCAACATAACACTGCCCAGAAGGGGATCACCTTCAGCACATTGCATATTCTAGTCTCAGATCACTCACAATCTGTGTACACACACGCCCCTGATTCTTACTCGTTGGACTTTCGGCTGGAGATTCTTGATCACATCGCGCTAGCTATTTCTGTCATTGCTGCGTAGATACTATCACTATCTCTTCAAGTAGACAGTCTTTGTTCACCTACAAACCATGAGCTACTAAGAAATAGAGCTACACTAATGGCCACCGGACACAAGTCCAACAAGGTAAAACAAACCCAAAACAAATCGATTACTCTTGACCTATTTTGCCTTCCATATGAATAGATCATCAACTCATTTTATAAAATCCAAATATGATTAATTAATGATAAGCTCACAGTAAGAAATATTCCTATATTCTCCTAATTGGGAACACAATAAGAAATACCTTTCTATAATATCCAAGATTTTTATGAGAAGTGATTATTGTGCAAATTTTTGAGTGATTGAATGTCTTTGACTCAATCGCATGAGTTGATCGAACTTGATTTTCATAAACTAAGTTCAAATTGATAACCAAAATGTCAGCCCAATAGCTGACAAATTCTTCTGATTTTTATGAGACTGATTATAAACAATGATTTGCTAATTATCAAAATTATTATCTAGATTTTCAATGCCTTTGGCTGGCTTGTCTATGCAAACAAGCTATGTTTTTTGTTCGGCTCGTGGTGACGTATCAAGTAAGTTTATCTAAAAATGATTCTTGCCTTTATTTGATTTTACAATTTTACAGTTGAACTTTTGCTATTAGATTCTGAATATTTTGAATTCTAGGAAAACAACCATAATCTTTTCTCATTTGGTATTGAGAAGGATTATGATATTTACTGCAAGCTGGTGTTTCTTCACATTTCTCAAAACATTTTCTACAAGTTGGATTTTATTCACACGAGTGTTACAGCAATAAATACCACACTTAACCAATTAAATTATTCATAACCCAACATCTTCCTTACAATTCAAGGTACATGATATCCATTTTGTGACATAGTTTGAAAATAAGATACTTAATACAAGTAAGAAAAACAACCAAGAAACAGAGAAACTATAATCAGTTCAACCAGAGATTTCTATGGCCTTAACATCAGTCTTCTTGACCTCTTCCTTTGGAACTGTCACAGTAAGAACCCCGTTTTCCATGGAAGCTTTCACTTGTTCCATTTTGGCATTCTCTGGCAACCTGAACCTCCTCATGAACTTGCCACTGCTACGCTCCACCCTATGCCATTTATCATTCTTGTCTTCTTTCTCAGCGTTCCTCTCTCCAGTTATCTGAAGAACCCTGTCATCTTCAATCTCTACCTTCACTTCCTCCTTCTTCAGACCAGGAAGATCAGCCTTGAACACATGTGCTTCTGGGGTCTCCTTCCAATCCACTCGTGTGCCCACAAATGCAGAATTTTCCCTAGAAAATTCAGGGAACGAAGCAGAAAGAGAATTGGAAGAAGGAAAATCCTTGAAAGGGTCCCAGACATCGAGGGAGAAAGGGTCGAAAACATTGCTCCTTCGACCACCAAAGAAACTTGGAATCAATGACATCTTCTCTTTCCTTAATCGAACTCTCGATATTGAAATTGTTAACAGAGAACAGCTTTCTGGTTTGATGTTCTCCAAAGGGACACACGAGGTATTTAAAGAAGGGAAGGAGTAACTGGTATTCTCGATAACCTTCTGGACTTTTCTGCACAATTCCCATATTGGTACTTCATAGGGCCTTACCCTTGAGCCCAATCCATGTTGCTAAATGGTAGTGCTAATAGGGCCTCCTAAAAATATAGAATTAAACTAATTTTCAGCTTGTTTATAATTTGGATACATTTTTTCTTTTTCTCTTTTATTTTAAAAAAGACAATGTTGGTGGTGCAAATGTACTTGTTCTGAAATCTCAAGCATGAATACTTGGTCTTCATTCGCTTTGCAAAACTGATAAATATCATGTAACTACTTTGAATTGATTATCACCGATTATGCCTTCGATCACTAATGTTGATCACGATTATAATTCCTCGAGGGAGCTTGAAGATGTCACTTTTAAGTTGCCGTCATCATAAAGCTCTTTCCAAAACAATTTCCTTTTAGTTTAACAATGTTATTTTTTATTGCTTGCCAACACCCTATTTTGATGGAACCCGTTGCAATTTTACTGTACTTATTATTATTTTTATTTCTTTATATAAAAAAACCCACGGATTTTGGTGGCATTTTCTTGTAAGGAAGTAAATTGCGAAAAAAAAATTACTATTGCAAAAAGTTGGTGATTTGTAAACTTCTTCTATGTAAATTATTAACTATGGGAAAAAGGAATTTGTTTCTTCAGATACTCTCATTTTGATTTTTAGTTGCCTTTACTTGTTTGGTCAAATGCCTACCATGTAGATGTACAGGTTATAAATTTCTCATAGAAATTTTTTCTCTCCAATAGACACAATACAAATGTGAGGTTTAATGAAAAGAGGAAAAAAAATAAAAATAAAAGTGGAACCCACATTTGTGTCTACCGTTCCTGGAGACATAATACAAATGTGGGATCCACTGAAAAGAGGAAAGAGAAAAAATAAAAAATAGAATTCATACCTTTGTATTATGTAGGAGAAAAAAATCTTCTCCAATAATAGGAGAAATCTATCTCCTCTTGAATAGAGCAAGTTCATGTTCAATTTGAATATGTCTTCGCATGGTTCTGGAGTTCCAGAAATAAAAGCTTACATATATCTAAGAATACTCTAAAATTTGCTTGCGCATATGTTATACTCAGCTTGTTATCTTTTTACATGTGAATCGTATTGTTTTTGTCGTAAAATGACTAATTATCTGATGTGGTTCTAGTTTTTGTTGTTGAAGATGCACAATAAATAGAGATAAGAAGAGAAATGAAGGTAGAATGAAGTGAATCACTTTATTGAGAAGAATCAAATGTCTCATTATTCAGACTAGTAACTAATGCCTAATTTCTACAGTAATCCTCCCTTTTTATTCAAGGATTAAGACCCCATCAAACTCACTCACTCTTGATAACATGTTTCCACCTCAATTCTATGGAATCTATCTCCAAAAAATGTACCCTTCAAGTCTCAGGGCTACCCTCGTTTCTAATTTCTTTCATATCAATACCACCTCCAATACCCGGACATGCAAATTTTTACAAAAAGGGCGTGTCGAACACGTGTCCGACACGGACACGCTCTGACACGTTCCGACACGCGATCAACATTTTGTGACATGTGGTCAACTCTCCGACACGTTTGGACAAACTTTTTCGACACGCAGTCAACTTTTTCGGACACGTGCTCAACACTCGGACACGTTTTTTTTTAGTCTTAATTTTATTTTATTAATAAAAATAAAAAAGTCATTTACAAATCAATTTTTTTCTGTTATAAAATTTGACATGAAAAATTAACAAGGTACGAAAAAATATTTTTGTTTATATTTATGTTATAAAATTTGAATATTTGATTAGTTATATGACTTATTATGGACAGTTATATGTATTAAATATAAATTATATTATACATATTAAAAATATTATTTAATATCAAAATGTGTCCCAACATGTTGAAATATGTCATTTTTTAGAATTAACGTGTCCGCGTGTCGTGTCGTGTCCCGTGTCAGTGTCCGTGGTTGCTGCCATGGTTGCTCCAGAGGAATGCATATGGAATGTGGTGGTTGTAAAGAGTTCAATGCCTCACTCAATAAGTTCATTGATGAGAGAAGAAAATATAATGAGATCGTTGATTGGTTGTGAAGAATTCCTTCAATGCCGTTTTGGCAAATTCACTATTGAGAATGGTGAATTCATCTATAATCTTGTTATGGAATTTGCACCTTATGGTTCTCTATGAGACTTAATTAGGAAAAGGCCACTGTTTGAGAGTGAGGAAAGAATCTACACCATTATGCTTCTTAAAGGGCTTTCCTGCATTCATCAAGCTGGAGTTGTTCATTGTTATTTAAAGCTCGATAACATTCTTCTATTTCCTTCATCTAAGAATGATGCAAAGTATCAACTCAAGATTGCAGATTTTGGATTGTCTAAGACTAAAGAAGAGATTATCAATGCTGAGTATAGAAATTTCAGGTTTAGAGGGACACCGTTATACATGTCACCAGAATCAGTTAAGGGTCAGATTGAAACATCATTGGATATATGGTCTCTTGGAAGTATAGTCATAGAGATGATCACTGGGTTAAATGTATGGAGGAACCCTCCAACTTCAAAGGAGATGATTCCAACTAAAAATGAGATGATGTACAAGCTTGTTGTCTGATAGTCCTCAAGAGTTGAGGCCCATTAAGTGTAAATTGTTCCACAAAACCCATGTTTTGGTTATAAATCACTCCCTTCAACCTTCTTCTTTTCATATAGAGCAACTGTTTTGAATAGTGAACCAGAGCAATGCCGAAAGTGGGAATTAAGGTAGACCTGGAGCAAATTTAACATTATCTTTTTCACATATGACTATTGGGTTAGTTTGCTTTGTTCAGGACACCTAAGGCCCATCAAAAGGAACCACAAAATGAAGAGAGAAGAAGGAGTGTTGCGCAGAAAGGAAAAAGAAGTCTGCTATAGTACAACAGCAGTCAAAGGAAGCAATGGGGAGCCGCCACGTCAGCTACAGCAGAGAAGGTGGAGGTGCTGCCTCTGCTACAGTATGAAAGCAAAGAAGCTGAGCAATGGGGAGCCGCCACGTCAGCTACAACAGAGAAGGTGGAAGTGCTGCCTTGAATCCGATACTCCTACTCACAAAGGGAGCCAAAAGCAAGGGGGACCACTTCCATTTAAGGCCAAGCTGGCAAGAAGCAAAGCTACCATTGGAGAGGATTTAGACAAAGCACGACCCTTGATGAAAGGAACAATGGAGATCAAATGAAGAACCCTATAAAAGGAACAAGCAATCCTCATAAAGAGGAGGATCAGCACCCATCCTAGGACCGGTTGTCTCTTTGTTTTCTTATTTCTTTGTAAAAATGCTCACTAGGAGCTAACTTCCTCTAAGTAGGTGAGGGTTCCATAGAAGTAATCCCTTTTGTCTTAAGATAGCTTTGTAAGGAACACATATTTTATAAATGAATTTTGAGTTGCTCTTTGGTTTAATTTATTGATTTTGTGAAACCCTTTGGGCTGGCAACCTCATCCCGGGACCACTCGGTTGATGAAACACTGACAAAGGCGTGTGGAGCATTCTCAAAATCCTGGGGTAGTTTAGCCTGAAGAAAGGAGGGATAAACACCTGGAATGGGGAGCACTGCCATGTGAATCCATGCTCTTTTGAGAAGGCAGCATGGTTTCCTTGCATATAACTCCAAGTACTATGGAGTAACGTGGAGAGTAAGGCCTTACCCTCTGCTTACCTATAGCAAAACAAGGGAAGGAGCAAAATCCACTTGTAAAACATGCTACCAGGCAGGGTTAACCAAAGGGATGAAAACATGGAACCCGTAACACCTACTTGATCTTTTTGTATCTGAAATTAATCTTAACTCAATTCCTATCACAACCTTTTCCTCACGATAACTGAACTGTGTTTTACTAGCTGATGCTCTTACTTTCGTTTCGTTGACTGCTCTTAAAGTTACTTCAATTGATGCCATTTTATTCGATGACCATGCTAAGTCATTCACTGCTCTCATCTGGTTCAGAATGGTTAACATTGTTTAACTAGCTGCCCAGAGATTGCTCTTTGTGAAGCTTAGCTGAGAATAGTGATTTCTTTTATTGCTCCATTTTACAAATTAAGTTTCCTTTAGCGCTTCTTACTTCACAACTGCTCCCTGAGGACGATAAATCTGGGGCTATAATACCCTATATTGCTTGACACGTACGCTTGCGTATAGTTGAAGAGGGTTGCTCTTAGTCAGAGTAGATTGCTCCTGTTGGCAATCCTGATTACTACTCTACACTCTTGCTCTCTGAAAGAAATATTCCCGAGCAACTCTCGGTTCGACCAAGCATTGTCCTTAAAGAAGCACCGAAGATACCTAGTGGAGTAAGTGAGGATTGCAGAGATTTCTTGAGCAAATGTTTCATCAAGAATCCTAGTCAGAGATGGATTGCTAGCAAGCTTCTCCACCATCCTTTTCTGTTTTCTCCATGTGATTCTTTTGGAGGTTATGAAAGATTTCATATGGTTAATTCGTCGTCCTCATTTTTCACTTATGATTGTAAGAGGATACCTTTATGATACAAATTCTACGTGTCTGTTTCGTTCTTTATGACAGAAGTATGTGTCACGTTGTTATTTCCTGTTCTGTTAATTGAATTCATAATACGGCTACACAGAAGAATAAATAATTTTGCAAATAACAAATAAATGTATACACAAAGGAAGGGTGGTAGTTGATGCTTGGGCTAAAATCAGATATGTAAAGTTTATCGAAAATATGAGAACAATCAAGGATTATACTCGTAAACAGTACAAATGTCTTTCAAGGCTTGAAGTTGCGTAACAAGTATATAATCCTATTAGAAATACTGTAATAGTTGTTTATAAGAAATGTAGAAATCAATGTGCAACAATGTACAAGGGAATAGAATTGGATATCCAATGAATGGTCTCGTTTAATGAAAAAAGAAAAGAAAAAAATAAAAATGGGACCCACACTTGTGTCCACAAGTCCTGCAAACATAATACAAAGGCGAGATTCACTAAAAAGAAGGAAGAGAAAAAATAAAAATGGAATCGACACCTTTGTATTATGTTTGCAGGAGAAAAAAAAATCTTCAATCTATATCCCATCTTGAATAGTACAAATTCATGTTCAATTTGAATATGTCTGCGCATGTTTCTCGATTTCCAGAAATAAAAGCTTGGACATATATCTAAGAATACTCTAAAATTTGCTTGCGCATATTTTATACTCAACTTGTTATCTTTTTACATGTGAATCGTATTACTTTTGTCGCAAAATGACTAATTATCTGATGTGGTTCTTTTTGTTGTTGTTGGAAGATGCACAATAAATAGAGAAAAGAAGATAAATGAAGGAAGAATGAAGTGAATCACTTTATTAAGAAGAATCAAATGTCCCGTTACTGAGACAATCGATTAATGCCTAATTTCTACAGCAATCCTCCCTTTTTATTTAAGGGTTAAGCAACTCCATCAAACAAACTCACTCACTCCTGATAACATGTTTCCACCTCATTCTTTGGAATCTTTCTCCAAAAAATGTACCATCCAATAATAGAAATAGAAAGTAAATAACTAATCATAATGGTTTTTCAAATTAAGTTGGTTATTTATTTTGAACTAAATAACCAACTTAATTGTATCTATTAAATAAAATGGTTATCTATTATTAATAAGTAAAGTGTCAATAGAATAAATCAGCAACTCCTCCCTTTAAAGGCTTAAATTGTTTCAAATGAAGAAGAAAAAAACATTAAGACGATAAACAATTTCTATGCATTTATATTTTTTTTTTAAAAAGGTTCTACTCAAATTTTAAAACTTATTTTTTCAGAATGATTTATAATCGGGCCTCGCCAGTGGTTTTCTATACATTTTTTTTCCTTTGTATCTCAACTCAAATTATTTGGGCTTCACAAACTACAACGATGTCTAGACTCTAGAGCTGTCTGGGTCCTCTGACAATAATTCTAGAATATTTCCAAATTTCGGAGAGTAAATACGATTTCTAGAAAATTCAGGATTGGTCGTCCACTTTATTTAAATACCTCACTTTCCTATTTGTTATTCAGATAACAATTTCAATCTGCAGAGTTCCTAAGTTCTGATAAAAGAAGAATACAAAATGTCACTGATTCCAAGTTTCTTTGGTGGTCGAAGGAGCAATGTTTTTGATCCATTCTCCCTCGATGTTTGGGACCCTTTCAAGGATTTTCCTTCTTCCAGTTCTCTTTCTGCTTCGTTCCCTGAATTTTCTAGGGAAAATTCTGCATTTGTGAGCACACGAGTGGATTGGAAGGAGACCCCAGAAGCCCATGTTTTCAAGGCTGATCTTCCTGGGCTGAAGAAGGAGGAAGTGAAGGTTGAGATTGAAGATGACAGGGTTCTTCAGATAACAGGAGAGAGGAACGTTGAGAAAGAAGACAAGAATGATAAATGGCATAGGGTGGAGCGTAGCAGTGGCAAGTTCATGAGGAGGTTCAGGTTGCCAGAGAATGCCAAAATGGAACAAGTGAAAGCTTCCATGGAAAATGGGGTTCTTACTGTCACAGTTCCAAAGGAAGAGGTCAAGAAGCCTGATGTTAAGGCCATAGAAATCTCTGGTTAAATAAAACAAACTAAGCTGTTTTTTGGTTTGAAGTCGTGTGCTTTTCTTTGTTGTAATGCTTATATATGGTGTGATATGCTTAATTTTTGTACTACTTGTGTGATATGTGTGAGGAAATATCATGTAATGTGCATGATGTATTGTAATTGCATAAAATAAATAAATAGTTTTCTTGGTGAGATATTGTTACATTCCAAACTGATTTGTCTGCTAATATTTTTCATATCAGGCCACAATCAGTTTTCGAGGAAAATAATATTAACTAATTTGCCATAGATTTACTGAGAATACTGAAAATTTTGAGAATTTAAACACAAATTAGCTTTGGGTTAAGACTCCTTACAATGACTATTACAGAATGCACAGGCCTAAAGAGGCTTTGGTAAACTTTTCCTTTTTCCGAAGTATACACAATACATTTACTTAAAAAAAGAAAAAGAAAAAAAGAAGCATACACAATTCAGATAGCACTTCGATCTGTAGTTGCCCTACCTCAAACTATGGGTCATGCTCATGATCTGTATCTGCCTTACCTGTTTCCATGCTGCCGTGTAAACATGTAAAATTTTATTCCTTCTCAGTACATGTCAGTGATGAAGTTTAGTTTGAAATAACAAATCATGATATCATATTCAGAAGATAATATTAAATTATTACGTATACTGCTAAAAAATAATGAAGGGTTCAAAAAACCTTGGTCTAACTGGCTTGTCCTAACGCTGATATAAGTTGTAATAACTCCTGGGTCAGCTTGATGTCCCTTGAAATTGTGGGTGTACAGAATAATTATATGAAAAACTGGTGTCTGATGATACCAAACTGTAAATTTGTCAACTAATCATAAGTCAAATAATTGATTTGAGAAATACCAAAGTTACCATAATCAAGTTATAAATTGAACGCATGACAGAAATGTATTACCTGAAACAGAATTCACTTGAGAAATACCACACTTAACCAATTAAATTATTCATAACCCAACGTCTTCCTTACAATTCAAGGTACATGATATCCATTTTGTGAAATAGTTTGAAAATAAGATACTTAATACAAGTAAGAAAAACAACCAAGAGACAGAGCAAGATCATTGTTTAACCAGAGATTTCAATGGTCTTAACGTCAGTCTTCTTGATCTCTTCCTTGGGAACAGTCACAGTGAGAACCCCATCTTCCATGGAAGCTTTCACATGATCCATTTTAGCATTCTCTGGCAATCTGAACCTTCTCATGAACTTCTCACTGCTACGCTCCACGCGATGCCATGTGTCATTCTTATCTTCTTTCTCGACGTTCCTCTCTCCAGTTATCTGAAGAACCCTGTCATCTTCAATCTCTACCTTCACTTCCTCCTTCTTCAGACCAGGAAGATCAGCCTTGAACACATGTGCTTCTGGGGTCTCCTTCCAATCCACTCGAGTGCTCACAAATGCAGAATTTTCCCTAGAAAATTCAGGGAACGAAGTAGAAAGAGAACTGGAAGAAGGAAAATCCTTGAAAGGGTCCCAAACATCGAGGGAGAATGGATCAAAAACATTGCTCCTTCGACCACCAAAGAAACTTGGAATCAATGACATCTTCTCTTTTCTTAATTGAGCTCTCGATATTGAAATTGTTGACAAAGAACAGCTTTCTGGTAATCTGGTTTGATGTTCTGAAAAGGGACACACGAGGTATTTAAAGAACGGAAGGAGCAACCGGTATTTTCGATTACCTTCTGGACTTTTCTTCACAATTCCCGTATTGGTACTTAATTGGGCCTTCATTTTTTTATACGCCTGAGCCCAACCCATGTTGATAAATGGTAATGCTAACAGGGACTCCTAAAAATATAGAATTAAAATAAGGGAAATGTTTTATTGATAATTTTTTTTTTTTTTTTACAAACTTATAAATTATTCTAAATCTGACTTGTCATATATTTTTTATTGAAGTCTGACCGATCAAACTTAATGTAATTTGTAAAAAAAAAAATTTGTCAATGTTCTGTCTTAGAAACAGAGATGTCTAGCCCAATAGGCTGGTATGTTGATCTTGGATCTAGTGCCTTCTTCAAGGTATCTATGAAAGAGATACTCTTGAGTCAAGCAGATCACTTTGCACAATGAACTAATAACGCTTGCCAATGGGGTGTGTGTGCGTACAGTGACAACATAACAGTAAGAGAGAGTGTAACGTACCTTTAGGGTTTACCTTGTATTTATAGAAGTTACCTGTGGGTAATATGATGTGGGTCTTTGGTGCCTCTGATGAGGGCTCAGGCCTGTCTGCTATGCTGTCGCATTAGGATTAGTATCCATAATAGATATTATCCATAATTATACTTGATTTGAATCTTGGATTACCTCTTACTGAGCGTGTCATTCTTTGAGCCCTTTATACGGTTGGATAACAGTCAATATAACCAGCTTGTTTATAATTTGGATACTTTTTTTCTTTTTTTCTTTTATTTTAAAAAAAAAGACAATGTTGGTGGTGCAAATGTACTTGTTCTGAAATCTCAAGCATGAATACTTGGTCTTCATTCGCTTTGCTAAACTGATAAATATCATGTAACTACTTTGAATTGATTATCACTGATTATGCCTTCGATCACTAATGTTGATCACGGTTATAATTCCTCGAGGGAGCTTGAAGATGTCACTTTTAAGTTGCCGGCATCATAAAGCTCTTTCCAAAACAATTTCCTTTTAGTTTAACAATGTTATTTTTTATTGCTTGCCAACACTCTATTTTGATGGAACCCGTTGCAATTTTACTGTACTTATTATTATTATTTATTTATTTATATAAAAAGACCACGAATTTTGATGGCATTTTCTTGTAAGGAAGTAAATTGCAAAAGAAATTTTACTATTGCTAAAAGTTGGTGATTTGTAAACTTCTTCTATGTATATTATTAACTATGGGAAAAAGGAATTTATTTCTTCAGATACTCTCATTTTGATTTTTAGTTGCCCTTACTTGTTTGGTCAAACGCCTACCATGTAAATGTACAGGTTAAAAATTTCTCATGGAATTTTTTTTTCTCCAATAAAGACAATACAAATGTGACGTTTAATCTCTTACTGATTGTTAAGTCAGAACCTGTAAATATTTGGCAAAAAAATTTAAATAATGCTTTTTAATGAAATAATTACGCATTTATTGCAGTTTTGAGAATAATTACACATTTATTGCACAATGTGACGCCCAGGCGTCTCACCCTAAAGGAAGACGCCCCAATGGGGCGTCACATGTGACGCCCAAAAGGGGCATCACATGTGACGCCTAAAAAGGGCATCTCATGTGTGCCCTATATATACCCTTTTTTTTACCATTTCACTTCCCACTATTTCACCTCTCTCTAACATCTCTCTAACCACGGTTTGTGCTCCCGACCGAACGCGAAGATTTTCGTAGCGAAGCTCTGCCAACTTAGGTAAGTTCGTAATACCTGCTATGTATACGTTTAAATTACAATGCTACCTTGCAAACATGTTAGGATTTATTGTATATTAGAGACTTAGAACATTAGGATAGTCACTTAGAAATTTTGTACCATGCTATTCTTTTGTGATAGTGATTTAGAAAATAGTGATAGTGACTTCGTAAATTTTGTATGATGTTATTAATGCGAGAGTGTATTGATAATTTTGTAGTCAGTTAGGTGTGATGATTAGTACATATTTATGAAGTTATTAGTGACTTAGGGTTAAATATTATGTCAGTATGATTTAATTTGTGTCCGATGTTTTATTATAATTTAATTACAAATAAATGATTGTACTACGTATTAATAATATTTCATTAATGTCGATTCTAGTAAAAACGTAGGGTTTGTGCTTAATTTTGTTGATAATAAATTAGGGCATTGCTTAATTAATTTGTACATAAAATGTGTTGTTACATGTGATTAATTTCATTGTTGTTTTATATTATGGTGAGTTTAGGGTCATGTGCTTAAGTGCCATTTGGACATCTTTTTTGTTGCAAATTCTTGGTTCACAAATAACTTGTCACCCAGTTGCCACGGACCTTGTATTGAACCCGATCCTGAAACCGTACCATCAGTGCATGATTCATGTTCACTTCGATAACTCCAATCAATGAACGAATAATGCGGAATTCCTTGCCAAAAAGGAATAACAGCTTCGTCACCTGCATCTGATAATTAAAAGTTTTTAATACAAACTTCCTAAATCAGATATTAAATCAGGTATCAATTCAGGTATATACAAATTATATCAATTACCTTTATGATTACATAATAGGACAGACACAACGTCATGCAATTGCGGCATTTGCGCGACCACTGGTTCATGGTAGCCTGGAATTTGAGACGCACCCATCTCACCACCTTCATCTCCATCTGAAGCACTAGCATCCTCCGCCAGAAGACGTTCTTCCATTGCGATGTGTGCATCATCGTCGTCGTCTTCGTCGTGCATTTCCCAAGTTGGATCATTTTCATCTACCTCAGAAATGTTACCAACTGGAGACGCATGAGCGGCAGACGTTGATGGATACGAGGAGAATTTAAATCAACTGACCTCACCGGTAATGAAACATTCTCCGCTGCGGCGATGTCGACATACAACTCCATAAAATCTATCATTGACTTGTTGAAAAATACTTCCATTGTCATCTCAACGTCTTCATCGTCAAACACTTGCAAACTAATGTATTTATCACATTGCCATAACCTTGTCGTGATCTGAGTGATACATTGGTTGCTTTGAAGACTTAACTTCTGCCGAATTCTCTGATGCAGTTCGCCAATGGTTGCGTTGCGTTGGATACGTGTCGGTCTTTTTTCACCTTCAAACATGACACCTCGTCGACCTTCTACCTTCCTTCCGTTGTAATATAACACAACACGAACAGAATTAGGATTTGAACTCATTTTTAAATAGAATAAGAAATAAAATTCAAATACTAAATTAAAGATGAAGGATTATGTATGTATGATGTTAGGAATTTCGGTAGAGAAGAGATATAAGATGAGAGAAGAGGTGTGAAGAGTTGTAAAAGTGGAAGGGGAATATATAGAGTGCATAATGTGATGCCCCTTTTGGGCGTCCCATGTGACGCCTGAAAGGGGCGTCACATTGTGCAGTAGATCCGTAATTATTTTTAAAAATGTAATAAAAGCGTAATTATTTTATTAAAAAACATTAAATTAATTTTTTTGCCGTAAATATTTAGTTTGGTTTTT